TTTTACCCCAAATTATGATTGAAAATATGCCGATTTTCAGTCGGATTAGAATATATTGTTTCTACTGCCAAAAATACTTGCATAGCAGCTTATGGAAAATGGCGAAAAATAAATGTAGATCGCAAATTATTATCAAGCACTTGTAGAGACCCCATATGCCAATTTTCAAACGGATCAGAGCAAATTTTTTACTGCCGTTAACAGACGCTTGTATGGCGACTACATTCCGACCGTCTTTAATAAACCTCTGAACGATTATTCATATATATATCATTGAAATCCCCACCTAGGAGTGATTATTTACTGAATGATGCTAAATTTACAATCAGTATCATTCAGTAAGGAACTCGTTGAAAAGCATGTTAATAAGTTGAATATTAACAAAGGGCCTAGTAGTGATAAATTACCTCCTATCTTCCTTATAAATTGCGCCAGATCAATTCTCGTTCCTCTTGCGATTCTATTTAATAAATCAATAAGGGGAGAGATATTTCCGAAAATCTGGAAGGAGGCTCTTATAGTGCCTATTCATACAAAAGGATCTAAACTAAGAATACAAAATTACCGACCAATTTCCATTCTAAACACTATCTCAAAAGTATTTGAACAATTCGTTTTTGATTTCGTAAAATCCCACTAGCATCTAACGTTAACTATAGACAGCATGATTTCCTTAGGAATAGATCTGTTATCAGTATCACCAATCTGGGCGATTTTATATTTATGTACTGAGAGCTATAGATGAGCGGTCGCAAATTGATGTGGTTTATACAGAATTTGAAAAGGCTTTCGATGGTTCACTAAGTTTTGAAAAACATGTTAAGTCCAAAATAGGGAAATGTTACGCTTCATTGAAGCACCTTTACAAATTAAGGCCATTCAACAGTGAAGTTATTAGGGTGAGACTAACAAATTCGCTAGTATTGTCAATACTGGATTACCTAGATGTAGTATATTGGCCACGTCTTACAAAAAAAAACTGCCGATAAAATTCAAAAAATTCCTCATATTTACTTGGTGCAGCAAGCGAACAGCTAGCTCAGTGAAAACTGAAAATCAGCAATGCTGAGTCTTATGTCCAGGTCACTCAATCGTTCTTTTTCTATTCGTTTTTTAAGTATTGTGTTCCTTATGTTTTGTGGAGAAATAAACACCTTTTTATTTAAATAATTTTGCACATTGTTTTGGTGGTACATAGTAGAACTCCACGGTACCTAACGAAAAATATGTTTTCGGTTGGCGTTTAACATACCAGAGATTACCATTTTACTCTATTTTATATTCTTGTTTCATAACTTTTCACGACACTAACTCAAAGAAGGTTTTCATTTAATATCTTAAAACGAAAATTAATGGCTTGTAAAGGTTTCGTGTTGTACTCGTATTAACTTGGAAAACTTTTTGAATTATTTGTACATTATTTGTGTTTTCTTTTTCTTTATCAAGTAGTGTTTATCGTTGTTGATGTGTATGTCTTAACGACGTAACATAGTGTTCATGCATTAAAAGATCAAACAAATATACTCTTTTCTCTATGTATATGGCGATTCATTTTATTTATTTTTTTATTCAAATGTAAATGTGCATTTGACCTCCATCTCACCTGATGGAAAGTGACGATGAGGTCGACGACGGAACATGTATACCTAAATCAGCCTATTCACTCTCGCCTTGAAAAGGTTCAAGTTATAACGTTCAGGGAACAAGTCTGCAGGCAGGGAATTCCACTCCATAGCCGTTCGCCATAAAAGTGTGGAAACGTAACGCTTCGTGCGAATCTTTGTAATATCCACAACATAGGGGTGGAATCCAGGCCTACGCCTAGTCCCACGATGATGGAAAGGGGAAGGCCGAATTAAATCGTGTAATTCCATCGCACGCTCTCCGTGATTTAACTTGTAAAATACCGATAAGCAGGCAACTTTACAGCGGTGTTCAAGGTTCTGGAGCTTCGTCTCTACTAATTCCGAGTCACTTAAAAGGCTTGCGTGCCAGACCCTGTCAAAGTCTTTAAAAATGTCCAAAGACACTTCAAGTGCGTCGTCTTGCTTTTCTGTAGCCTCGCTCCATATGTGACAGGCATACACAAGAAGATCCCCAGGAGATCGCCCTCGTCGGAGTCCGTAATGGTGATCACTAAGGAGGTCGTTGTCTTCAAGGTATGACAGGAGAGAGTGTGCCATCCAGCCTCAGTAGAGTTGGCAAAGATGGGTGACATAAGTTACTTTAGACCGCTTTGGCCAGGAACCAAAAGTATTTGCTACCTGCGGGATAAGAGGCAAGTTTGGCCCCTAGCCGGTGCACAAGATCAAACGTGGCCCTTCGTAACACGTTTTTGCACTATTGGCGGCTATATTAAAAGCTTTCTAGCTTTCTTCAGATTCCGAGTACTCGGAGGTTTGCGCAGTCGAGCATCTGCCCATGCTTGGTACGCGGACTGCTTTTGTGCTTCGGCACGACTGCAGTGAGCGTTAAACCATGGACGAGCTTGGGGCCCATTGGGTACATCGGAGTATGGTATGTAATAACTCCATACCCAAACGCAAGACCTCGACTACAGCATCGGCATACCTCGACGAGTCTCCTGAAGTAAAGCAAACCTGCCAAGGTTATATATAATGACACAAAGAAATGGAGCATTTCACCCTAATCTGCTAACCTATATCGCCACACCCGTCCCATACCACTAAGGCCCCAATCGTGTGGGGAGTATACGGATACAGTTTTCATCAGGCAATGGTCGGAAGTACCCTGTCGGGTATCCACAACCACAGAGTATAGGCCCGGATCGGTTGTCAGCAGAAGGTCCAAGCAATTAGCCGTATGAGATTCAACATCTGGTATCCTAGTGGCGCCACTAACAAGCTGGGATAGCGTTAGCGTTAACGCAAGTTTACGCGTCTCTCTCCCAGCGTGATCGGTCATCTGGTATATATAAGAACAACCTTTCTTGATGGTGTGCATTAAAGTCCCCCAGAATGGCTAATTGCTCCGCTGGGTACCTATGCCGAATCTCATCAGACATCTCACTCGGATACTGGAACGGCTTGATCGTTTCCTGATCTCCACTGTGCGATCGGTAAACACAGCAGTACACTATTTGTGTAACTCCTGTATCTACCGGAAGCCACAATATACCTACAATAGTAGAAACCTGTGCTCCAGAGTATACCCGGGGTAGCTGAGATACGCCGTGTCAGTCGGACATCTGATCTGCGTCTCGGCGAGGAACAGCATCGGCGGTTTATCGGTTTCAAGATAATGGTGGACCAAATCGAGATTTGAGTGCAGACCTCGGATGTTAGTGAGGTTTTAGTGGGAGAAAGTACAACCGCTGTGTAAACTTGTTACCGTTTCTGTTTTTCATTTTATTGCGTTTTAGGAAAGTGAATAGGCAAGAAGAAGGCATCTGAACGAGGAACTGTATTCAACCAAGCTGCAAAGCTCACACAGCCTCACGAGGTTACAACTGGTTTGGAGACCGTGGGGACGCCCGAACCCCCCGAACATGGCCACTTGGTCGTCCCCTCCGGTCGCCGATCGAGTGCGCAGTGTGGCAGTACAAGCAGCTACAACTCGTCGTCCGACGCAATGCAGCTGAAACCTCCTAACGGCAACTCCCGAACACAAGTCGAAACACGGTGAAAACCATTTCGCGACTCGACTGCATCGGGAGGGTGGTGACTAGCCACGGCCGAAGCCTACCACCAGTAGTTGTTGATCTTTAGAACCACTCAGGGTTACCTGCGGGTAAACCTACGGAAGCGAGCAACATCAATCCCCAAATAAGCCATGGTAGCTAAATAAATTATATGTATGGGTTATAAAGTGGCATTAATTGGGTAATTATTTATTTTATTAAATAATAACGTAGGAACCTGAACTGAAGGGCTTTGTTACAATTAATAAACCACCAACAATGCTGAGATCTGTATGTACCGTCGCGTGTATTTTTCAAATGTACAGCGATACTATGACTGATGCCAAATGGATTCAGTAGCGAAGTAAATACAAGAAAGGAACACCGAAATGGTGACATTAAAAATGTATAATGTTCTGTGTCAAACAATATAGCCGTACTAAAACTCGTGAATCCAATCTATTCTTTGTCGCCCCTTTGGTATTTTGTTAATGTCACTCAAATGTAGGCAAAATCATTATGGCCAATGCTACAGAATCATTAGACAATTTCTATATTCGAATACATAATAATGTGTTTAACATTTTGTCACCTTCTATCCATCTCGCCTTAGTATTTTTATCTACCGTCAAATTCAACAGATTTTGCTCGAAATTTGCAGTAATTCCTTACGGTCAGAATATTTCAGCGAGTCCCATATCTTCCACTAAGTTTTGATTATAGTGCTCTCCCTACTCAACCTTTTGGTTATACAGGAAGAGCACCTGTACACGCAAGCCTACACAGCGTCCTTATCTGTCAGGTCGTGACTCCAGATCAGCCCGTTGACACAGATATCATCCAGTTCTCAAAAGACTAGTACCTTGGATGAGCGCTCCCGCGTGCACGTACCTGCACATACCCTACCTATTATCCAGATAGGCGCCGGAGCAGTTGGGTTCGCTCGCCTTCTCAGTCAGAAGCGTCTCTCATATACCAAAAATTCGCTAAGCGGTTGGAGGGACTGGAGGATATTTAGCTTATCCCGAACTATTTCTCCGGACTAGTGACGTGCAGTGACCAACGAAAGTCTGACATGTATTTGCATTTTGCCCTTGTCCAGTATATGCGAGATGGACGCTCTGGTCAGACATTATCGGGGCAAAACAACGAATTCATCTCTAGAGTCTAATCCACATACCACAGTGAGTCCATACACAAAGTCCATAACCCCGGACACCCACTGTTCCCTGGTCTTACCGGAGAGCCCGTAGTCGTCCCCCCCCCCCCATTCAACGGGAGTGTAAATAGGGACATATAAATATTTCAGTCAGATAATTTAACTCAAAACGTAGTCTAAGACGTAATAATTTATACTCACTTGAAATGGAACTGCAAACAATCCTATAACAATGTCAGCCAATGCCAAGTTGGCTATAAAGCAGTTGGTAACGCTCTGCATTCTACGGGATGTGGCTACCACCCACAAGACGAGGAAATTTCCCACCACAGCGAGCACCGAAATCGACCCGTACAGGAACGATAATAGGACTATCATGCCTGTCGGCACGTCGTATAGTGTATCTGTAACAAAATTTTAACCAGATATTCAGAATCGCTCGAACCTCTTAGGTGGCATCTTAACAAAATTGCTATACACACAAAAAATGGGTTTCTCAGCTTTCCGTCTGAATTTAATAAAAGTATTTTTAATAATTATAGAATATACGTTGTTGTTTTTGGTAACATAATAATAATAATAACGCGCACACTCAGACATAGCCCCGCACTAGGGAAACCCTGTGTCGCGGGTGCCATGGACACACATAGACTACCACAAATTACACCCAAACGCACGAGAGAAATAAATGGAGGCCATACAAATACTTCTCCCGGCACGGGAATCGAATCTGGGACCTTTGCGTGGCAGTCCCGTATGGTAACCGTTCAGCCACGGAGGCAGGTTTAGTTTAGTAACCAAAACAACTTACGCCAACTAAATATTTACCTGTGTTTTATTTGAGTGTACAATCGTTTTGCAATTAGGATAATAATCTCTTCTTTGCTTTCTATTATTTTTAAATATGAAATAGACACACGCTTGGCCATAATCTCATCTTAGCCTTGAATAGCTTTAAATTATACTTTTCGAGAAACTGAGAAGCCAGTATTTTAAAGAGTGTAATGATAATGTATTTTTATTTATCACACCAATACTGGTTTCAAACTAGGAAATTCACTACACTATGTGCACAAGAATTCTATCATATGTTTTGAACGTGTTTATGGAGTTATTTAGATCAATGCCAATTTCTTTCTGTGTTGTTTTTCTGACTATACCAAATTTATCATTGACACTTGTAGTTTATACATACCTATTTCTCCTGTTTCATTTTGGTCCATATAGGGTTCTGAGACGTTCCCTCGCCAGCTTGTGTCGTCATCCTGCGTTGTGTTTGATGTACTGCAACAAACAATAGAATTATGCGTATATTGTCCTAGATCCTGCATTTCTATTCTGTATGATATTATATTACATATTTAGTTTTAAGGGAAGTACTGTTGCCTTACTTATTTCTACTCTATGTTTGCGATATATGTATAGCTCTAAGTGGCACTACAGCCGCTATGGATAGTCGTGTTGCTTACCACCAGACTTGTTCGTTCCGTCACTTGGTATTATAAAAAAATAAACATCCTGTCTGTGGATTGTCAACATGTTTGTAGAATTGTAAAACATAAAAAAATATATGACTGAATTTAGCTGAAGGTTCAAATGGGGATATATCATTGATATATTGAATTGGATTTGGGTTCCTTGGGGAAATTTGTTCAGTATTAGAGGTGACACCATGAAACAG